GGACTTTCATATAACATTTGCTAAGAGTATATTCATTGCACACAATGATAAGTTTTATAAAGACACATTCATACAAGTATATTACACACTTCAATCATATTCCTTCCTCTCTTTACTCCATACGCTTGCCATTCCCTTTAATTTCCTCATACAATCTCACTTCTATGTTCATGTCATGTGTACATATACAATGTCCTGGTTAGTTTTAACTGAGTTTGACATAATCTAGAATTACCGAGAATGAGAGTCTTAATGAGGAATTATCTAGACCAGATTAACCTGTGGACATGTCTGTGGGGTTGCCTTGATTGTTAATTGATGTAGGAAGACCTAGCCCATTGTGGGTGGCACCATTCCCTAGGCATGGAATCTGAACAGTATAAAAGAAAACTAGTTAAGAACATAGCACACAATTAAGAAAATAGGGTTGCACACATTACTTCATTCTGCTCTTAACTATGGATGTCATGTAACTAGCTACTCAAATTCCTACCTTGAGTTCCCTCAATGATGGGTTGTAACCTGGAATTTTAAGGCAGGCAAATCTATTCTCCCATAAGCTGCTTTTTGTCAGGGCATTTGATCACAGCAACAGAAATGATACTAGAACATATGTTACTATATGTATATTTATAATATAGTATCTGTATATAATGTAGGCTCCACAAATGAAAGCATGCATGATACATGTCTTTTTGAGTCCAACATATTGTTGCTTAATATGATAATCTCCAATTGTGTTCATTTTCTGCAAATGGCTGACTAGAGCTCCATTGTGTGTGTGTGATATTTTCTGTATTCATTCATCTCTTAATGGGCATAGGCTGATCCCGTAAATTGGCTGTTACAGATAGTGCTGCAATAGACATGGATTTCCAGGTATGCTTGTGGGAATAGCACTCCGGGATGTATATCTGAAGAGTACTAAGCCAACACACCACAGACTTCTCTTTCTAACAACAGTTGCTAGAAAATGAAATGGGGCCTGCAGAGTCAAACCTAAGGATTTGCTTCTCCAGACTGGGTAATCTAACACTATTCAAGAATGATTTTTTGGATAAGGGATATCCAACCTGTAATAAGATATTTTTATTAAAAACAAATGGATGAAGGGGCTGGAGAGATGGCTCAGCAGTTAAGAGCACTGGCTGCTCTTCCAGAGGACCTGAGTTCAATTCCCAGCACCCACATGGCAGCTCACAACCATCTGTAGTGAGATCTGGCACCCTCTTCTGGCCTGCAGGCAAACATGCAGACAGAACACTATATACATAATAAATAAATAAATGTTTAAAAAAAACAAATGGATGAAAAAAGAAAGACAGGAAGGGAGAAGCAGGAGAAAAGAGAGAAGAGAAAAGGAAAGGGAAGAAACTGAATGAACAGAGACAGTGAAATGGAATTAGGTGATGTAGTGACCAGCAGTGTTTCAAGAGGTCACTTGTCCACAACACAACTGCCTGTACACAGCTCTTCTGTGTCCGTGGAATTGGCTTCCAGATTTGCTATGCATTTGACACACTAGGGGAATGGGGACATGTTTAGTACCCATGTTACATCCTTACTTGGATACACTTGAATTTTAAGGGTGGGACACTAGGGCCTTTGAATTGACCCCCAGGTGACTACAGTGTGCAGCAGAGCTTGGGGACAGATGTGTCTCCCATGGGTTTGTCCAAGTGCACATATTAAGGTGCAGTGGACATCTGTGCAACTAAGGCCCCTCAATGCTGGCAGGAACTGGTTCAGACAAGAGCACCATGCTCACATGGGCTCCATCTTGGAGTCCCACTGGTGGATTAGGGGTGGGCATCTAGATGTGTGCAGTACATTTATTTAGGGAATTTAGGGAACTGGCTTGGCCCATGAATGGCATCTAAGGATTCTAGAGTGGTGGTTTTTAATCTATATTTTATTTTTATTTTTTAGATTTATTTATTTATTATGTATACAGTATTCTGCCTGCATGTGTCCCTGCAGGCCAGAAGAGGGCACCAGATCTCATTACAGGTGGTTGTGAGCCACCATGTGGTTGCTGGGAATTGAACTTAGGACCTCTGGGAGAGCAGTTGGTGCTCTTAACCACTGAGCCATCTCTCCAGCCCTAATCTATATTTTAAAAAGCCCACAGACCTGGAAGTGGGAGTTGGAACTGAGGAAGGTCTAGAAGTCAGAGTTACCCCTGTGCTATAGTCTCCAAGCTTCTTCAGTACAACTGCTTCATGCTTTGGGGCTCCCAGGGAAAGAATTTTAGAAAAAAGACTTTGTCTGAGAAAGAGAGAAAGCGAGAGCGAGAGAGAGGATGAGTGAGAACCACTGACTCATTGATCTAGAGAGCGGAGAGATTGGACAATTATGGGACAGGAACTAAGAATAGATTTCCATTTTTAAATGATTGGAAAAGAAATATGAAACATGAAAATGACACAAGATTCAAGTCCCAGGGCCCACAAATAGAAACGTATTGAATCGCAGCCACACCATTCATTTGTGGCTTGTGTCTGGCAGCGCTGCTGAGCCGAGTAGCTGGGCTGATATCTCCATGGCGAGACAGTCACTACATGGCCCTTTCACAGGACATATTTGAAACTTCTAAAAGGAGAAATAAATGTCCCTGTTATTTTGGGGGTTGATTTTTTGCAGTTTCTCTATTTCTATCACAGAGCAAATTTAGAAGAAAGCACGTATGCCTGCCATTTGAAAAAAAAATACTTTGTGTATGTATTTGGTAATTAACTAAAAAAACCCAAAACCCCTGCTTTTCTACCCCCCCCAACCTCAACCCCCCAGTCCCGACTTCTGCCTTCTTGCTTTGGGAGACAAATGTACAGTTCTCTCTTTTCCTCTTCAAATTTCCTCTTCCAAGACTATTATTTTAGGGTGATGTTAGTCCTCATCAAAGCTAGCTCTTAAAACAGAGAGAGCTCTACCCTGACCCCACAGACAAATAGCCTCTTCTGCTCTCAACCTCTGTGAAAGCTCTTCGGCTAGGGGCGGGGCCTCATGTGCCACTCCCCCATCCATGCGGGGGTGGTGGTGGTGCGGGGGGGGGGGGCAGGGGGGAGTTGGCTGGCCTGATTTGTGCAGGCAATCATAGCTACAGTGAGTTTGTGAATACGAGAGCCGTGTTCTGGCCGTAGGACAGCATTTCTCAAGACTCTTCCTCCTTCACTTCTTACCTTCTTCCCATTCCCCACTTCCATATTATCTGAGCCTTGCTGTATGTGTGAGGAGGGACTTGATATAAATGAGTTTATTCCTAGTGTCTTGATCATTTGGGAATCTCTGCATTAACCAATCCCCACTGAGAAGAAGCTTCGGTGACCAAGATTGAGAGCAGTACTAATCTATAGGTATAACATAAACACTTAAAAGGCAGTTTGACAACGTGACCATTTAGCAACAAAAATAGTAGACCTTTCCTAAAGTCTACGAACAAACTACCAAACAAGGCCATGGGCTTTGACCAGGCATAAATTCTGTCCTATGGAGAAGGCCTGAAATCTGACTGTCAATCTGTTGGTTTCCTCTATAACAGTCACTGGGCATGTTTTGGCTAGAATTGGTATTATAGCATGCAGGGTCTAGTGCTAGAAAAAAACCAGTGACGTCTTTTCTTCCCAACTGGCCTGTGTATTAGTGTTCAGCGTTAGCCAACAGATAGCAAGTTTCCTAGTCAGTTGATTTCTCCATGTCCTGCAGCCAAAGTATATGGTTTCTTACCTTCTAGCTCTGGTGGGGAACCAAGAGTAATGATAATAGCCTGTATTATTGTAGGTGCATGTGAGGACTCCTTGAACAATAACTCATAGAGAGGTACTAGATACCAAGTTCTATGGTGAAAATTGTTGCTTCCAGAAATCATCTTGGGAGAGCACTGTGAAAGAGGTGGCATGCAATTTCCCAGGAATCCAATGATGGAAGGTGTTCCAGTGAACTCCATCCTATGGAAAGAGAGGGTAGCCACCCACAGAATGGGGATTTTGCTGACCAGTATTGTAAGATTGGAACTAGAATGCAAGTTGTGTGAATTAAAATGATAGAGCATGCATGTAAGCAGTCTTCTTTCCCATTTTCCCAGATGATGCTATGCTCTACTGTGTATAAATGGCACCTCAAGAAAATAAGGAATATTTGTTTTAAAAGGTACTCAGCCTATTAGCCTGCCTGGGGCACCCACATGTTTTAGACATATCTAAGAGGGATATTGTTGGCAGAAGTTTCCTATCCTGACTGCCCAGTCCCAAATAACCACTCTGAGGCTTAATATTAATTACAAATACTTGGCTAATAGCTCAGGCTTATTACTAACTAGCTCTTACATTTTTAAATTAACCCATATTCCTTATTTACGCTCTGCCATGTAGTGTATTAGCATGGCACATTCATCTCCTGCTCCCTCTCTGTCTGGCTGGTGATTCCTGACTCCACCCTTCCTCATCCCATCATTCTCAGTTTGGCTTTCCTGCCTAACTTTATATCGTTCAGCTAATGGCCAGTCAGCTTGTTCATTAAAACAATCATAGTGACATATATTCATATAGTGTAAAGGAATATCTCTTTATTAGCATGATCAAGTAGAGGTATCACCAGTGTTGGAAGATTGAATTCCCATTCCGGTCCTTGTCTTGACTGTGGTCACAGGCTTTGACTATTGTCGGTTGTAATACGTTACTTAAATTATCTGGTGAGGTCATCGACCGACATCTGTGCATGTCTTTTGAGTGTTTACTAAATCTACAAGAAGTGTGGTGGTGTCAGGTGATCATTTCATTCCCAAAGTCTTGTCATTGTCAAAAACTTAGTAAGTCCAGGAAAGAGAGTGAGATGTTTGGAGCCAGTGTTGATCATTTAAATCGGATTTATGTCTCACTTCCGCTCAAATGGCTGGACATCTGCTGTGGTGTGGTACAGTAGAGGATGGCGGAGGCACACGGTGCTTCTGGCTGTTGGCCAGGGGAAACCGTGTTTCATGGGTTCTTCCTTTCCTTGTCTCCTAGGTCCAACCGAAGGCAGGACTTGGTGTTAGGAATGGCGAGTGTTCCTTCCTACACGGCAGCGTCAGAGGTGACAGGCATGGGCAGGGCTCCAGGCTGAACTTGGTCTCCACACAGAGAACCTTAGAGACAAGGAGCCGGAGGAACAGGAGCCGGAGGTTCAAAGTACACTCTTTGGAGCTTCCACAGCCCAGTGGGACCTCAGAAGCCTCCAGTGACCCTTTGTGGAGAAGCCCTGGCTGGTCCTCCCTGGCCGACAGCGCAGCCAAAGGCATGCGGCAGTACTGCCTGTCTATCCCCATCGAACCTGAGACGAGAATGGACGTCCTTAAGGAAAACAGCTCCCAGAAACTCGAGGCGGAGACAAATGTCGACACCGGCTTCACCATCATCAACTCCAAACGCAGGCAATCTTTTCTGAGCGGATTTCCCCGGGATTTTCAGAACAGTCAGCCACCATGCCGCTTGTCAGGCTCTTCCTTCGAGGTGACTGCTTCTCCAAACCAAACAGTCTTTAAGGAGAGACTCCGTCCTCTGTCACTTCCTGGTCAAAGGGACTTTGGTGCAAAGACGGGAATCTCCAAATGTCCTGTCCAGGGTGAAGAGAAAGAAGAATTCTTTATATAGCACGAAACAAACGTGTTTCTGTAAGACACAAGATAGAATGTTTTAGAAACGAAGCATTGTATTAATTGTCCTCATTGAAATATCAATGACAAATGCAATTTAAGGGAGGGTTTGTTTTTTACTCACACTTTAGTGGGAAGGTCCATTCATGGCTGGGGAGTCATGGAAGTGAGAATGGGAGACAGCTGATTATGTACTTTTTTGTTTTGTTTTGTTTTGTTTTGTTTTTCGAGACAGGGTTTCTCTGCGTAGCTTTGCGCCTTTCCTGGAACTCACTTGGTAGCCCAGGCTGGCCTTGAACTCGAGGAGGGGGGGGGCTGGGGCTCAGCCTGCCTTTTCCTTGTTCCATCTGGGACTCCGGCCCATGGGAAGGTGCTGCCCACTTTTAGGGTGGGTCTTCCTTCGTCAGTTAAATCTTTCTGGAAACATCCTTACCCGGAGGTGCATTTCCATGGTGAGTCTGAATCCAGTTAAGTTGACAATGCAGATTAGATCTACCAACACTGATCCAGGATCGTCCAGTTTCTTGCTCATCGGAGGGGGCCCCAGGCTCTCAATGCACAAGTTCATACTGCTTTCACTTCCAGCAGCAGAAGTCCTTGGGGAGCTGATAGTTTGCTAGCTTGCTGGAAGAGAACACAGCCAGGCAGAGGAAGAAGGCCCAGTGCCTGAACCTTCTCAGCGGCACACTAACCCAGCTACATGTGTTGGTTCAGCATCTATCAGAACACTGGCTTCGATTGCGAATGAATCAGATGTATTATGCAGATCTGATTAGTGTGTGTAATACAGTTTTAATGTTTTACTTGAGGTTGCAAAGCTTATCCCCCTCGACAGTGTGAACTATTTATTCTTTAGTGCTTTTTAATTTTTATGTGACCTCCTTTGGTAAGTAGGCCCTATTTACCACATACTCTCTTGTGGTTTTGCTTTTAAAGTTCTCTGCATCTGAAATGAATGAAAATGCAAAGTGTTTTAAAAATTATGCCTGCCCCCCCAAGTTTAATTAGGAAAAATACCAGAATCCAGAAGCTAGGTTAAAATGAATGCTAGACTCTGAGATGTTCTATTTCTCATTTGTTTATTCCCTACTCTGAAGAGGAAAGCACTTCTTGTTAAAAACAAACAAACAAACAAAAACCCAAGGAAGACATGGGATGATTAGAAAATTCCAGATCTCCACTGAGCATGGCTGAAAGGTTGTGCTGACTGAGACTTGGGAACTAGATGTATTTGGGGGGTTTCCAGGGCTTTCTGCAATTCTTATTCATTCGTTCATTTATATGTTCACTCAATAAACACTTTTGCATGCCTTAAGTATTCATGGGTATACTAGTTAGACATTTTGTGGCCATCACACCCAAAAGGCAGTGATGGTTTTGCAACTGCGATAATCTACTGAACCCACTCTTTAAAAAGGTGTTGAGGTTTGGACTTACTCCACAATCTAGGCCCGCGTTTGCCATATAAAGATGCACTGTCTTAGTTATTTGTCTTGCTGCTTTGATCCAATGCCACAGCAAAAGCAAGCAAGTTAAGGGAGGGAGGGATTACTTTGGCTGACAGTTCCAGGTTGCGATCCATCATGACAGGATACTCCTGGTGCAGGAGTCTGAGGGCTCTGGACACATTGCATCTGCGGTCAGCAAGCAGAGAGTGATGGGCAGGGCTGCGAAGCGGCCTTTCTCTTTGCCAGTGCAAGGAATACCTACCCACTTTTAGGCTGATTCCTCCCACCTCAGTTAACCTAGTGAAGATAATCCTTCACAGGCAGGCCCAAGGCTTGTTTCCTCGACCTTCTAACCCTATCATGTTGACAACATTAACCATTGTATAAGCATTTGTAACCTGCAAGTGGAGACTTCGAATATTATGAATTGCAGTTTACAGTCTTGAGATCATAGTCACAAATGGCACATTCTCTGTTGCCCAGATGCTGAAGTTCAGGGAGTAGGTGCATACTCATGATTAAAAATGAAAAAATAAACTGTTAGTGTCTGTGCTATTGGTTGTTCTGTTCAGGAAGTTGTCTCCTGTGCCAATGCATTTGGGATTATTTCCCACCTTCTTTTCTATCAGGTCCAGTATATCTGGATTTATGTTGAAGTCTTTCATCCACTTGGACTTGAGTTTTGTGTAGGGTGATAGGTATGGATTGATTTGCATTCTTCTACAGGCCAACATCCAATTATTCAGAACCATTTATTGGAAATGCTCTCTTTTTTCCATTGTATAATTTTGGCTTTGTTGTCAAAAATCAGGTGTCCATAGGTGTGTGGATTTATGTCTGTGTCTTTGATCCATCTGTCTTTTTTATGCCAATGCCATGCAGTTTTTATTACTATAGCTCTGTAGTAGAGCTTGAAATCAAGGATGGTGATACCTCTGGAAGTTTTTTTCATTATACAGGATTGTTTTAGCTATCCTTTTTGTTTTTTTCCATATGAAGATCCAATTCCAATTCTTTCAAGATCTGTAAAGAATTGTGTTGGAATTTTAATGGGGATTGCATTATATCTGTAGATTGCTTTTGGTAAGATGGCAATTTTTTACTATGTAAATCTCACTGATCCATGAACATGGGAGATCTTTCCATCTTCTGATATTTTTTTAAATTTCTTTCTTCAAAGACTTGAAGTTCTTGTCATACAGGTCTTTCACTTGCTTGGTTAGAGTTACATCAAGAAAGGATTGTAGGAGTCAAAGGGGTCAAAGACACCACAAGAAAACTCACAGAATCAACTAACCTGGGCTCACAGGAGCTCACAGAGACTTAACCAAAAGGCCAGGGAGCCTGCATGGGACTGACCTAGGCATTCTGCGTATGTGTTACAGTTATGTAGCTTGGTCCTCTTGTGGGACTCCTAACAGTGTGAGCAGGGGCTGTCTCTGACTCTTTTATGGATTTTTTGTACCCTATTTCTCATACTGGGTCACCTTGCCCAGCTTTAATACATGGGGAGGTGCTTAGTCTTATTGCAACTTGATATGCCATATTTTGTTGATACTCATGGGAGAGCAGCCCTTTCCTAAACAGGAACAGAGGAGGAATGGATTGGGGGGTGGGAACAGAGGGGATAGGTGGAGGGAGGGACTGGGAAGAGAGGAGGGACGAGAGACTGCAGGATGTAAAATAAATAGATAAATAAATAAATTTATATAAAAAACCCCAGAAACTAGAGAATGGCTCTGTGGTTAAGGGAGCTTGTTGCTCTTCTAAAGGGCAAACATTTAATCCCCTTTAGTCCCCAGGACCCAACTGGGCAGCGTACAACTGCCTGTAGCTCTGGCTCTGAGGAATCTGACTCCCTCTTTCAGTCTCCATGGGAACATGCATGCATGTAGTATGCATTCACACAGACATACATACACGTCAAATAAAAATAAATATTTAAAAAAATATTTGATTCTGTGACCATCATTCTCTTGGGTAGGTATAATGTAAGAATATACATGCTTATTTAACTACAGTCTTTTCTTCTCCTTTCCCCTCTCTCTCCCTCCCTCCTTCTCCCTCCCTCCCTTCCTTCCTTCCTTCCTTCCTTCCTTCCTTCCTTCCTTCCTTCCTTCCTTCCTTCCTTCCTTTTACGGATGGAAGCCAGGGTCTCAAGGATGCTTATGAGGCAAGTGATCTAGGTGGTCCACTCTCAGCCCCCAGCTCAATCTGTCAAGACCTGGAACACTTACACCCACCTGAAGAGAAAGCCTAGCTCAGGCACAGATGGGTCTTGGGAATATGTGTGCAGCCTGGGTTTGCATGCGCTGCTGAGAACAATCAGGGAACTGAGGAAAATTGCAGATGGATACCGACAGGAATTCTAAATTGATTTTTTTTCTGTCCATTAAACATCAGAATAGCCTCATTGTATTTTCTCTCTACCTCACAGATTAAACTTTGATCTTAGAAAATAGTATGAGGGACTTAATGTTGGTATGACTTCTTATAACAAAGGCTTTTTCAGAAACCTAATTTTAGTGAACAATTGAGTTGCTTATGAAAGCACAGCAGGGGGAAGTTTTAAATTTTCCTTATACTTTATGATGTTATCTTAATTTCTTTAACATAATATATGGGTGAGGATATGAGTCCATGGAAATCATAAAGAATAGTGAGAAGTTCAAATATGCACCTTATAAAATTGGCTTATAGAATAATGTACTCTTAAAATGTCACCCACTCTTTTCTATTCAATGTAAGAATCCAATTTACATTATGGGATGGAAATGTCAGTGGAGCAGGTTGGGATTTAAAATTCTCTATACGTGACCTTGAACATGGTGGTTCTTTGATTCTGTGGTAACTTATCTACTGTAACAAAGGTTGTTAGCGAGAACCCAGGTAATATATATGAAAATATCTGCATGTTATTAAGTGCTGTGAATGCAGAAGAGTTTTTTGTTATTATATTGTATTTTATAGTTTACTATATATTATAGTATTAATGTAACTGGCCCTTCAGGCCCGCAGTTTTAAAATGTTATGAGACAAAAATTACCTTATGAGACAAATTTTAGTAAAATCAATGAGATCATAAAAAAAAGGCAAATATACTTAAGATTTTTTTAACTATGTATGTTACTTGTTTTACCTAACAGGAAGATGATGTATAGTAAATAAGGAAATACATCATAAAGTTCAATAGATTATACACAACAGACTAAGTTATGATCTGAGGGTGGTAGTGTTTGCCCAGCGTCCCAGGACTTTGGAAGGGAACAGAGCCATGGCTCACACCGAGTTTTCTGTTGATTAGAAACCTGTAAATTTCATGACCTTGTCACAGACCATCTTTAAAAGTTCCAGAAGCAGCTCAGGGCTGTCTAGCTTTCTAGAGCCTTCTCAAAGTCCCTGTATTGGCTCCCCTCTCCTTCCCACTCTTCCTTCTCTCCGGCCATCACTCCTCCTTTTTTATTCGACACCCTCTTTTCCTTCCCCTCTCCTCTTCTCCTGTGTGAACTCGACAGTGTGTATTCTTCTCTTATTTTCCGCCCCTTAGCTTTATGTTTGGTTTTGAGGATTCACAGGGGTGGGAGGTTGGGGGAGAAGGGCATTTGTCTGGTTGTGTAGCTCAGGTTGGCCCCAAACACAGTGAAGAAAGGGACAGACCTGTCTGGTGTTTTTTCTCTAAGGCCACTAGCTGCAGCATCAGCCCCCCCCCCCAAGACCTAGTAACCTCCAAAGGCTTTTCCAGATCCAATACACTGGATCCCATCCAAGGGGCCTGTTAGAATCCCCATACGAATTGAACTTAACATCCTCATGTGTCATGATACTCTCTCTGTCTCTGTCTCTGTTTCTCTCTCTCTGTCTGTGTCTCTGTCTCTCTCTCTCTCCCTCCCTTTCTCTGCTACAGTGGCACTTTGGAATTTTCTCTTGCTTTATGCTATGATCCAATCAGTCAATCATGACTGAATATTTTATTTTACTCTATTCCAAGCTTGTCACCAGAAGGTACTATGGTGGGCATGCTCTAAATTTTCGGGCTGCTGGAATGTGGTGAGAATGTGGGCAAATTTTGCCCACTCCCTCCTGGGTTTCACCAAGAGGAGACACAGGAAGAATTACATTAGATATTTCAAAAGTTGGTTTAGGCTCAGGAGGCAGTGGAAGGAAGAGCCCACCTGGAAGGCAGAACTACAAAGTGGATCTCCTTCGATCACATGGCTTAGCGCTTTCTCCACAAACACACTGCTCCTTTGAATACACCGTTGGGGGCGAGGGTCTCCCTGACTTTCATAGGAGTTCCCCGAGGCTGGATCCAATAATACCAGGTAATCATTTCTGCCTTGTAATGAACAGCAGTGAAATTTATGCACCAAATATTTTGCTAGATGCTACCCTAGGAATTAACAATGAAGACAAACATGCATGCCTTGGCTTGGTCTTAATTGCCCATCTAGATATAAGTAACTGGAGCTTCTCTCCTGCTCCCAATCTCTCCCCCATATTAAATTACAGCAAGCACTGAATCACATGTGACTAGAGCTTTTTTTTTTTTTCTGCCTAGCTCTTCCTTTTCAAACCAATCACTTTCCCCAATTTTTATTTTCTCAATTTGGCCACAGACAGCTACGGTATGTAAGGGAGCCTTCAGATGGCCCCAGAACTGGGTTCCATAGCTGGAAAAGTGGGAGGCTAAA